ATAATTCTGTGGAAGTATATGGTAAATCTCCAGCCTGCTGGCTTTCGACTAATATCAGGCATAGTTTGTACTTTTTCTAAATAGGTGCTAAACTGCTACTGAACAATGTTTTTTATGGACTACTTAAGACTTGCAAATTGCTCTAGTTGTGTTTCTTTCAAGGGTGTCTTTTTTTCAAATATGTCCCTTGCTTATGCCCAGGGAGAGCAGGGTTGGATAGTAAGAAGTGGGGAAATGTCTTCAACAAGAAGATGTTGTGGGGGAGAGGTGCAGAAGGGCTACCTGACCCCCAGCCCCCAAGTTTATTTTCCCTGCTGTAGCAGTGTGGGGTTGACAAGTTCAAGACAAACCTCCAAGAATTGAATTATGTAGCTGGAAAATTATATCAAATTTATACATTTTCCATATATAGAATTTAATTATTGGGGGTAGGGGTCATCTTATAATCAAGGTCAATTTCTATTCAAGTAAATATGGTATATATAGAACTTCAGTCAGGCTAATTGGCACCACTGAATGAAAATGACAGCCTACCCCACTGCTACTTAGCTTGTCCATAGCACAATATGGATGTTGCTTCTGATCTGTGAAGCATCACATCCAGAGTAGCACAGTAAGTTTGTGGGTGCTGAATTTGCCTTATAAACATGTCCATAGTACCATGGAACTATTAATCAGATAAATTAACATGCTGGCCTGAGCAGTTCACGTGGACAAGGAGAGGTGCTTAGCTTGTTTCTCACAGGCGCCTCGTGCATTCAGAAATTCATAGAATCTAATTATGTTATTTTTTAACTCCTTTCACCCAGAATGCCTTCTGTCCAAAATATTTTGAAACTTTGTTACAGAAAATTAGGATGGAGTTAGTGATTCTGTTCCTACCTATACTGATTATTTTTGACATACATGCATAGTTCTGGGGGAAAAAAATAAAATGAATATATGACATGGTCTTTTTAATATAGTAAACATTTTTGTAAAGTTCTAGACTGTGTGTGTGGTATTCTTAGACATTCACTCTGATTGTTAACTACTGTAAATATTTTATTATATATAATTTATTAATGCTGAGTGACTTAACAGCGTATGTGTGTGTAAGTTGTTCTTGTTGCTTTTAGGAAGAATGGTCCATGAAATTCAACAACTTGTAATTGAGGAACCTAGTTCATGGCTGGAAACAGTTTCTAGTTGGAAGAATCTTCATGACGATGAGATAAAAAAAGAAAACCTTGTACCTCAAAAGAGAAGATCAGAAGAGGAGATACATATTACCGCTAAAAAACAGAAGAGAGAAAAATTGATAGAGGCAGATTCTGAGGAACATCAGACGAAATGTGTGGTGCCAGAGGGAAACAATGATGAGGACTATCTGACTGGAAGAAAGATTTTCCTAGAAGATGCACCTGAAACTAGTAAAGATAAATCAGTTGAAAGTAGTAATCACAGCTTCACTTTCAGAGTTTCTTGTCGCTGTAGTGGAGCAGTTTCAAAAGTATTTACGTCACAGGTATACTGAAAAGCAAAATTGCTGACTATAATGATATAATGAATTGTAGCTTATAATGTTAAATTGAAGTGCCTTATAATTAACAATACCATAAAATTAAATTGCATGTACTAGGCTAACAAACAGATCTATTTCTGATTTTTTTTTAAAAGAATGTATCTGTTCCTTTCAGTGTTAAATGTGTGCTGGGGCAGAAATACAAGTGTTGTTGTTTTGTTTCAGAGCATCATTTTACCCTAAATATTTTTCAAATGAGTAGCTCCTGTTGAGGGTATACTGTATTTATGAGGTAGCAATAAGTTTTGACATCAGGGATGCAAAAAGATCATCAGAACTGCAATTCAAGTTCTGTTAATTTTATTTGAAAATTGGCAAAAGTTAGCTTTTTGAAATTTTCCAGTGAAGTCAGTGACCATTAACTTCATGCACCTTCAGGCTGTAAGCATCAAAAGCATTTCGCAGCTTTTCCAGGCATAAAATACCCAGAAATCTGTAGATGTTGGCTTCACTTCAGAGTAACATTGTAAGAAAAAATAATTGCAATCCTCAGGGTTTCCTGGGTCAGATGATCTTTCTGCAGGAGTTTGAACAGTAGTAATGTGCCCTCAGTTGCATCTACCTGTTTCTTATTGTCTTAAGTATCCACTACTTGCTGTTGTCAGAGAGAGGATACTGGGCCAGATGGACCTTCATTCTTACCCTGTATTATACTTTTTACAGGCAATTATATTACATATACTATTAAATATGTATCCAGTAGGCAACCATCAATCCTCTGGATCATGGTGTACATGTAAGAGGTCTTTTCAGGTGCTTGATGAATCCACTTGTATGGAGTCCTGTGCCCATCACACCAAGAACTTTGAGGCGTGCGCCGAGGCAAGAGTAGGGAGGCTGCCATCTCCCCTTTAGACCACTGAGACTGAATCCAAAGGCTAGACTGAGTCCAGATGTTCAGTCCTTCGATGGTTGTAGCTTCTGCCAAACCGCAACAGATAGGAACTGTTGCTGGTTGCCTAACACCTCAGCAAAGGCGGGTTTCTGTCAGGGCAATGTTCCTTAGCTTTTCTCCAAGCAAAGTGTACCCACAAGGCAATGGTGGCTAGGTTTTTGAGGTGCCTTATGCTCACCTTTGCTCTGGAGGCTGCAACATCGTGGTATTTTTAGAAGCTACCCTGCCATGAGTAGCCCTACCATGTTGCCACCAGGCCCCCTAGTAGGATGCAGTTTATGATCATACCCAGGACCATTTTAAAAAAATGTTATTTATATTTTTAAAAACAACCAAACAAAGAAACCCTTGGCCTTTCCCACCTTCTTGAGATTTTGGGGGTGCAGATATTTTCTACCTCAGGCTAACTTTTGAAGACAAGCCTACCTTTTCCTCCCACCCCCAATTGGGGCTGGAGTTCTTGGCCTTGTGACACACTTATTCGACCCTACTAGAGAGCAGCCAGTTGGGTAGGATGAAGTTAGTGGCTTTGCTCCTGTGAAAAGGCAAACTTGTGTAGCTGAGCTACATGTTACATGGCTGCTACTGACAGATATCTTCCTAGAATGCATGGGGAACATGTTGTAGTCATGTCTCACAATCTGTCTATCATGCACAATTTTCTTTTAAGCTACCCATAGTAGTAATGCTGATAGTAGTGACTAGCTGAATTAATGTGTTCTAAGCATGGAGGCTTTTCCTTGCTTAAAGAACTACAGACTAGTAAAAGCTTAAATGTTCTTATCTCTGGCATGAACCATATTGGGAACATGTAGTGAATGTTTTGATGCTTCATGGATGGGTAATGAAACTGTTCATTTTGATAGCTATGTTCTACCTGTGGAATTTAAGACGTCTTTCTTCATTAACAGAAATGGGTTTTGCACTGCTAACATAAGAGAGAGAGATGGATTTTATTCCTCCTTGAAACTGAATGTCATTTATAGAACAAATGTATTGATAATGTGCAGTTGTATGGGCTGCTGAAAGCACTGGGAGTTTGTACAAACACTGCAGTGAGCACATTTCATTTAAGTTCAACTGGCATTCCATATTTTAGATGAAAGAAATGTCTCTGAAACATGTAACATCTCTAAAACAAAAGATTTACTTTTTAGCATCCTTGCTTGGGATCTTATTTTTCCCACAGAATTTCTTTTAGGTGAGTGATAAGAACAATAATTTAATTTGTTTCATAGTACAGATGTTAACAGGCTGAAGGTTTGGGGAAAATGTTGTCCTCAGTGCACTTGGATAATTATGCTGAACTATGGCACAGATACAGCAAGAATATATAGTGCAGTATGATGATAACAATGCCATATAAGATTACAGATGTTTAGGAATGGCCTGACAAAAACAGGTTTCATTTGAAAAACGGCATTTTGTTGAAGCCAGAACTTTTGGTGGGTACACACTTCAACCAGGACAAGGAGTTCTCAGCTTTAGGCTCCGTGATGGCATTCTTGGTCAAAATGGACTTCTCCAACACTGTGTAAAGTCTAGCATGCCAGACAGGGCACTGAGGGCATGAAGGAATGGCTACAGCTGGGGATAATCCAGGAATGGAAGACAGTTGGAAGGTTTGCTTGGAAAGTAGGAGACTGAAATTGGAGTTTCAGGTTTGAATTGGGCAGGATTTGAACTTCAGCTTCCCACCCTTGTTGTACCTCTTGCTTGTTGCATAAATTATTTATTGGTCCACAAAGAGTGAGAGGGAGATTTGGGGACATGCACCCAGAATGTGGGAGATGAGTCTCTGGCTTAGGCAGGCAGATCAGGGATTTTTAAATTTGGTTTCCCAGTCGCAAGAGAACCTCCAATGGTTGTTAGGGCAATAGGGTCTTTTGGGCCATATGGATCTTCCCTTGCTTTTGACCAACAATGCCATCACAGAGCCTGAAGCTGAGAACTCCTTTTCCTGGTTGAAGTGTTGTGTATGTTCCCACCAAAAGTTTTGGTTTCAACAAAATGCCGTTTTTCAAATGAAATCTGTTTCTTATCAGACCATTCCTGAACATCTGTAATCTCATACGGCATCGCTCTTATCATACTGCACTATATATTCTCTCTGTATCTGTGCCACCTATAAATTTCAGGTTTCTTTTCTTCTTAGTGGCTCTCAATATTTTTTTTTTCTCTAGGAGGTTGGAAGAATGATTGGTGTCACTCTTCTAAAACAATTTGGCTGGAAAGCTGATCTGAGAAACCCTGATCTAGAGGTAAACGAGCTTGTTTACTGAATTATTTCTTAATGGTTTTAAAATGACACTGTCAGCATAGGTTTTTTCTCCTTTCATTACTTGTTTTTTGGTTTTGGAGGATGGAATGCTTTTGTCTGTGAAATATACCAGTATAGCCCTGCTACTTTATCCTACAACCGGACCTCTCTCCCCGCTCCTCTACTGACCTGAATAAGGAAGTGCTGGTTTTCTTGTAGAAAAAAGTTATCACTAAGAGCTGGAGAAGGAGCCACTGCTATACCTTAGCATCATGATTTCTAATTGCGGAGGTTATAATCCAGTGCAGAAGTGACCAAAGGTTTGCTTTCACTCATAGCCTTAGGTTGGACTGAATGGTGGGTTTTCAGCCTTGCTCCACATCAGTAGTGAGCAGCCTTATCAAACTAAAAGTCTGTTCAGTGGTCACTCAAAATCAGGGCACTTTCCTTTATCAAAGTCCAAGTTCTTGCTGGCTTGGCTTCTGTCGGGATTAAGTTTGGCAAGCATTTTGTCTCCACGTAGGTATACCACATAGGTATACCAAATCATTCTGGCATCTCTGAAAAATTTAACTAGTAGGACTTCAGCTCTAGGGGGAAGGGGCTACAGTGTACTGGAAACGAACCCACCCAGACCCTTCTGAGTGCTACACACAAGCAGTTGGACTCTGCTTTGCCGGGGTCTTTAACTGGGAATGTCATGTCCAGCAGCTATTTCAGCCTGCCAGGAATGGCTGGAAGTGCAGACCATTGTCCGCACCTTTAGTCACCAGGGTCAGGTAGGTCTTGACTGGGGATGGGTAAAGTCTGGCCTGTGAGCTGGAGCAGGCTCCATTTCCCAGGAGCCCCTGCCCGTGTTGCTGTGACTGGTTTCCATGGAGACCCCAGCAGCGGTGGGGCTGTGACAGTGCAGGGCCAGGGTTTCCAGGGAAACGGGCTCCAGCAGCACTGGCAGGGTGTGCGTGGCTGGGCAGGGAGCTGCTCTGGGGCCAGGGCTGAGATCTTGTGGTGGTGACATCCGGCCCTGGGATATGCAGGCAGTAGATCACAGCTCTGCTCTGGCTCTGGACCACGCTGTTGCAAGATCCCAGCTCCAGCCCTGGAGCAGCTCGCCACCCAGCCATGGGCCCTGCCAGTGCTGCTGGGACCAGTCTCCATAGATGCCCTGGCCCAAGGGCTGTCACAGCCCCATGGCTGCTGGGGCCTCTGTGGAAACTGGCTGCAGGAATGTGGGCACGGACTACTAGGAAATGGAGTTTGGCTGCCGGCTGGATTTGCCATTTTGCCTACCCTGGTCTTGATGCACTTTATTTCTATTGCATGCCCCATGCGTCTTCCAGAAGTTACTATAAAGGGGAGCTAGCTTTGTCCTGAAAACTTTTTTGAGGCATTTATGAGCTCAGTTTCAGGTGGAATGCTTGAGCTTCAGGTCCTTGCATATTATCCAATTTCACTAGATGTTTACAAACTACTGCTGTTGGCTTACCCAAGACTCTCTCCACCTTTGGCTCTGTTTATCTTCTTTCCAAATTCATAAGCCGTACTTGGTAGAGTTGTCTTCTATAAGCATTATGTCAAAATATCCTTAAGCTTCTCTTTTCATAGTTGGTAGGGTCGGAAGGACCTGAGCAGATCATCAAGTCCAACCCCCTGCCATGGCAGGAAAGAGTACTGGGGTCAAATGACCCCGGCGAGGTGTTTATTCAGCCTCCTCTTAAAGACCCCCAGGGTAGGAGCCAGCACCACTTCGCTTGGAAGTTGGTTCCAGATCCTAGCCGCCCTGACAGTGAAGTAGTACCTCCTGATGTCTAGTCTGAATCTACCCTCTGCCAGCTTGTGACCCTTATTTCTAGTCACTCCTGGGAGTGCTCGGGGGAACAGGGACTCCCCCAATGCCTGCTGGTCCCTCTGACTAGTTTGTAACAGGCCACTAGATCCCCCCTCAGCCTTCTCTT